TCATTAGCCGATTCACCTTTATATAAAGAGGAATTCAATTTATTAATTTATTGACATACCTGTTGTCTAATATATGATCTCTTAATTGAATAGATCGACCATTATTCCGTCGTCTATATAGTGGATATCCATTTGCATCGTCCTGAGTAACATTAGCAAAATGCCGAGGATAATTTTTTGAACAGATCCCATCTTGCATGCACAGAGCATGTGGTGCTAGGCTACTGCAAGGTCCATGTATCATACATCGAGTGATGGTTTCATAAAGCTGTGATTGATGAATTGGGTCGGGAATTTCAGCAAATACAATATTATCATAATCGGAAGGTTCTTGTGGATTGTCTTTGTTGGTAAGTATTATTAGTAAGTGCGCATGTGGAAGTCCTCGTTTTTGAAACTCAATAACTAACACAAACACTACGACTTTTTCTAATATATTCTTGTCTATGATATTATTTAAGATGGTCTTTAATTTAAGATTGAAAACGTGGACAATAATATCGGGCCGATCGTTTGGAACCTGTTTATCATAAAGTTCAGCAAGAATCTCTGGCCAATGTGGATTACATGTAATCGTAATAAATAGGCTCGGCTTCCCATATTCCCTTACAATAGCCATCGCGTCTTGATAGCATTGACTCATGTATCGATTACTGCCGACAAATGATGCAGGTAGAATTATTTGTGTTCCTATGTGGTTAAGATTCTGGGAATCACTTGCCATGGCGTCAGCGAGTCCTTGATAAAGTTCAGCGCGAATTACGCGCTGATTCATCTTTTGCCAGAGAAGTCGGTTCTGTTCAATCTTGGCATACTGGTCAACAATATATTGGTGAAAAAGACGCCCAGCATATTGAAGTATACCATCAACAGGATTGCATATGTGTAAGCGATATGCTGCATAATCTCGTATCATAACTCGGATTCGTCTGGTTGGTCTCGACTCATCAGATTCAACGGGTTCGTCATCCGAGAATCTATCTCCAGGATTATCATTATTCTTAGGCTTATCACTCTCGATAATGTTGATGCTTGTTGAATAAGGAATGTTAGGATGCCACCCAAGTTGGCCATATGGAAATAACAATGGGTATTGAAGTGGGTCATATGCAGCATGGCATTCTGATATTCATTGTAGTTGACCTTGTGTATTTCGGAGGAGAATGTCATGCCCGCTAGTAACATTGTCATCATCAATCATTAAGACGGCAACTTCGTTAGCAGTAGGTCGGTTATAACGTCGAATATTGTAACCTTGACCACTTAATATCTTAAGTGCAATTGGTTGACCTTCACGAATAAACTGGCTAGCATTATGAAAAACTTGAGCAAAAGGGTTATGCATATGGAGATCGCGTTGAATATCTACCAGAAGAATGCAATCTAAAGAAGGAAATATATTGTGACGGTGGTTCAATTCGGTCTCAAAGTTGCCGTCATAAATATATATTTGTGCAAATTTTGGTTGACAATTTTCGCCGGGAAGCAATGAACCAATTCGATGATAAATTGCACCTTGGACTCGATATGTATATACCCTTCTGTTCCATTTGCAAGATCTCAGTCAATTGATGCTCCCATTGATGTGAAGGCAAATATAGAATTAAATAAACGGATTTGCCATAAATATGGTTCTCCGGTTTTAGGAGAGTCTTGTGTAATCAATCTCATAATTGATTCGGGTACATTATTCAGTGGTGCCAGAATAACCTTTCCACCACAACAGCAGTTATTTGGGGACTCCCACATCCAATGCAGGGCTAAACAATGTTCACAACAAATCGACATTCGTGGAAGTACATGCCGGCCATTAATCACGTGTTTTCCGCGTATAATAGTAGAGTTAAAGTGGCCATTTACATTTCGAGCAAGATTATGTGTTGTCCTGATATGTCTTTGAATAGGTTGGTCTTGAATCGATGAGGGATTGAGTTCTGGTGATAGAGTTTCGTAGTACCTTCTAGCAGCATTGATCTTTCGTGATATTCGTTTTCTTTTGTCATTAGGGGTTTCCTCGTGTTCTGGGGTCCTATATCGATCATCTTCGTGAATATGTGGAGGTGTTTGAGGTCTGCTTCTTTTCCGGCCCATGTTCTTTGTCCTTTTAGGTTTTATTTTTTTATTAATTATTGGTGTTTATAATTTTTATTTTTAAGATGTTATATTTAATGATGGTCTTTAATTATTAAGC